TAGACTTCTTGCTTAGCACGTTACCAAGAGGAAGCACGGGAAGCTTGAGGCCGGTTAGACTTCTTGCTTAGCACGTCACCAAGAGGAGAGCACGGGAAGCTTATCCACACTACCGAAGGAAGGAAACGGTCCAATCTTTGACCACGTTTCATGAAGAGCTCCCCAACCTCTTCCTTCCGTTGAGGATAAGTCGTGATCTCCACCGAAGATAATCTCTAAGCTGCGATAAAGAAGCCTTGAGGATATGTCATGATCTCCACAAGAATGATCTCTTATCTACTATAAAATGGCTCTAATCTGGGAGAGGAAGGACACATGCTCCATAAGAGACTTACAGAAGACGAACCGACGACCGGAGATTATTATTTTCTTTGATTCTCCATTCCTCCTCTCAAAGCTTGTATCTCCATTCTCCATACTTTGGATCAATAAAATACCCGGCGACTGAAGTCATTGAAGAGTGGACGTAGGTCGAATTGACCGAACCACTATAAATTGTGTCTTCTCTAATTTTTTCGTTGATTTCATTGCATTTATTATCTATACTTGACAGGTGGTGTACAAAACTATTTTTGTGCATCATCAGTTTGGCGCCGTCTGTGGGAATCGACAAAATTATCACTCCTGAACATTACGTCCATTAACTAATGACGATCACTACTCGATCCATGAACCAACACGAAGACAATCCTCCACAAGAGGAAGAGGTTGCTCCCCCGCCTATCAATCCTGTTCCGAATACTTTAGCCTCGAATCCCCAACAAATATTGGAGACCATGCAGCAACTGGTTGCTCAAAACCAACAGTTACTGCAACTCATACTTGCTGGACAAGGAGGAGCACCACACGGAGGGGCACAACATGGAGGACCCCAAGGTGGAGCACCACACGGAGGTGCACAACGTGGAGCACCACATGGAGGTGCACAACATGGAGGGCCCCACAGAGGTGCACAACATAGAGCACCCCAAGGAGCTCCACATCCTGAACATCAAGGAGCACCACGCCCTGTTGCTCCACGCCCGGGTGCCCCATTGGGCACCCCACTTCGGAAAGCCCAACATGAGGGAGCTGCACCTCCCCCTCCCCTTGCTTTCCAGGGAGAGGACCCTTATCTCCAGGAGGATGAGGGTGAAAATCAAAGCATGGGGCATGGAAGCCACTTCCATGATCATTCCAGAAGAGCCCCCAATCATTGGGACGAGAAGATAAAGGAGGTACAGAATCAACTCGGTGATATCTTCAACGCCATGAAGGCACAAGGACCCGAGACTGTTGACCACCTGGTAAGGCGTACTGATACCCCTTTCAAACCTGATGTAGCAAACTACCCCCTCCCTCAGAAGTTCAAAATGCCATCTGTGGAGACCTTTGATGGAACAAAGGATCCACTGGACCACCTCGACACTTACAAGACCTTGATGCAATTGCACAACGTACCAGACGAAATCATGTGTAGGGCATTCCCAACCACATTAAAGGGGTCTGCCCGACAGTGGTTTGCTAAGCTCTCCCCCGCCTCTATTACCTCTTTTGCCGAGCTTAGTAGATCATTCGTCTCACACTTCATAGGAGGGCGTCGCCACCAGAAGCCAGTTACGCACCTGCTTAGTATAAAGCAGGACCGCGAGGAGAGCCTGAGGAGTTACCTCACTCGTTTTAACGAGGAGGTACTCCAAGTTGATGAACCCGACGACAAGGTGACGATGATCGCCTTCTTGGGTGGCCTCCGTTCATCAAGTTTCCTTTTCTCAGTTCTGAAGCGCCCACCGAAGAGCATGCCAGAACTATTCACAAAAGCTCAAAGATATATGAACGCTGAGGAAATCAACAAGTTTAGGCAAGGTGAATCATCTCACAGATCACCAGAAACTTGACCTGCCTCTGCATTGTTCTCAAACAGGCAGCCTATCTCCAGTTTAGCGGCTCTCTCACGGGTCGCCAAAAAACTTGGCCTCTGCACTGTTCTCAAAGAGGCAGCCTATCTCCAGTTTAGCGGTTCTCTCACGGATCGCCAAAAAACTTGGCCTCTGCACTGTTTTCAAACAGGCAGCCTATCTCCAGTTTAGCGGTTCTCTCACGGATCGGTAAAAGAAAAAAAACAAAATAAAACTTGGCCTCTGCACTGTTCTCAAACAGGCAGCCTATCTCCAGCTTAGCGGCTCTCTCACGGGTCACCAAAAAAGCTTGGCCTCTGCACTGTTCTCAGACAGAAAGCTTATACCTCAAGCTTAAAGACTCCCTCATGGGTCGCCAAAAGCTAGGTCTCAAAAAGTGTAGCTCTCTCACGAGCAGTTCTCCAACTCTGTCTTTGCTCTCGTGCAAGCAGCCTACTTCTCTCTCTCTCCAGGTAATTATGTGAGATATTTTAATGTTTGGAATAACATTATTTTTGTCATCACAAGTAGGTTCTCCCGAGGCAGCCCCAGACTCACCCAAGGCGCCCAGCACCTGGAGAAAGGCTTGATCATCAAGAGCAGCACCCAAAGGTTCCTTACTACTTGCAATGTCTAGCCCAATGCCTAGAAGTGTGCCTGACTGCTGTTGCTCGTCAAAACAAAGTTGCCCAGTAGCTTGAAGGCTGTCTGGCCCTTCAAAATTGCGCAAAGCAGAATTTTTGGCGTAAAAATCAGCACCTCGAGTGGGAATCGGATCAACCCATGCTCCCAGGCCACTGCCTAGCTCTCCCTGACGAACCTTGGACTGATTTTCAGCTCCCCTTGATGAAAAAATGCTGCTGCCCAGCGTTCCAAAGCCGCCCAGCGTTCCAAAGCCGCCCAGCGCAGCAGATCTGAAGCTGTCCGGGACAGCAGAAGCAGCAGCTAGGCTGCTGCCCAGCGCGCCTGGGCTGTCCAGGATGCGAGGAGCAGAGCCTAGGCAGCCGCCTAAGCCCCCAGCGCGCGTGCGCTGCCCAGCCGCACGCCCAGCGCCGCCCAGCCGTCTCCCTTTCTTCAACCTCCACCACTCCCTTTTCAAAATAAAATGGGAAAGATTTGAAATTTAAAAAAAAAAAAATGTAATCAATGCCTCCTTCTCCAAGTCTCCTTGGACATGGGGCATCGGGGGGCAAATGATGGGTTAAGCCCAAATAGTCCAATTTATGTGTTAAAGTCTAACCCCAGTTGAGGAGCCCAACCTCATTGTGAATCCACCAAGTCCAAGACAGACCAAGGCCGGTTAGACTTCTTGCTTAGCACGTCACCAAGAGGAAGCACGGGAAGCTTGAGGCCGGTTAGACTTCTTGCTTAGCACGTCACCAAGAGGAGAGCACGGGAAGCTTATCCACACTACCGAAGGAAGGAAACGGTCCAATCTTTGACCACGTTTCATGAAGAGCTCCCCAACCTCTTCCTTCCGTTGAGGATAAGTCGTGATCTCCACCGAAGATAATCTCTAAGCTGCGATAAAGAAGCCTTGAGGATATGTCATGATCTCCACAAGAATGATCTCTTATCTACTATAAAATGGCTCTAATCTGGGAGAGGAAGGACACATGCTCCATAAGAGACTTACAGAAGACGAACCGACGACCGGAGATTATTATTTTCTTTGATTCTCCATTCCTCCTCTCAAAGCTTGTATCTCCATTCTCCATACTTTGAATCAATAAAATACCCGGCGACTGAAGCCATTGGAGAGTGGACGTAGGTCGAATTGACCGAACCACTATAAATTGTGTCTTCTCTAATTTTTTCGTTGATTTCATTGCATTTATTATCTATACTTGACAGGTGGTGTGTAAAACCATTTTGTGCATCATCAAATACAATTAATATATTGAGAACTAAAATGAAACAATCTCTATAATTTAGAAAATCCAGTGCAATTAACCCCTCTTCAATTTACATAATCGAAAGAGTAGAAAGTGAGAGAACCAAAGATGATAATAAACTTGTTCTTCTTTAGAAAGGCGTTGCATGCCGATCTTTTCGAGCATGGACTCGACATCGACTTTGTTCTTGAATGTTACCCGGCGTCAACGATGGTCTCCTTTTGTATGGTCAGCAATTGAAGAATAAAAAAGGAAATGTGAGAAGTAAGAGAGCGGTAGAGAGACAGGAAGGGAGAAAGAGGAGTGATTGATGGAAATTTTTTTTCTTAATTTAAATTTTAAATTTTATGAAAAATATCTTACTCACAAACCTCTATTCAACGTAAATTAAGAGATAATAATTTTTCAGTAGGAAACTAATCTAACACTGTTTTCAAAGAAGGGAATTTGAAATTTTTAAAACATAGTGAATTTAATTACTAATTAGTAAAATTAAAATAAGATTTGTCTCTAATATTTTTTTTAACAAGCTAAATTCATTAAAAGTCTTTTTAAGAAGAACCCAGTTCCAATTTTCACTTTCCTTTATGCTTTGGTAAGCCATTAATGGTTTTGAACTCGTGCCCTGTTGTTCCCGTGACTGCAACATTTGGTAGGAGGGTCAGATATAGAGTTAAATTGCACTTGTGCAAACCTCAAACCTCTACCGAGGTTGATCTATCAGCAGGAATGTTTCTACAACCACCACCTTCTGTGGTTAAAAAAATTAAATAAACAGAACAGGCGAATGCAGTTAAAAACTGAGCTTTTAAAAGTACTCGTAACATATGATTACATATATAAAAGCTACAACTGTTGATAAGTTTTAAGGAAACAGAAGGAATGAGGGTTGTCCCCAAAAAGAATTTCGGACAGTGCAGAAACATGTGACTAAAAGAATCTGGCAGCATCTATGGGCTATGATCTCCACACTCCCTGCAGTACACCTTCATAAGGAAAAAAACTCGGATCCTCACTCCCCCCAGCACCTTTATGAGTATAATGCATACTGCCACATTCGGTTCCCGAAGTGGCGAAGGTGGTTGGTTCAGTAATTACAATAATAATAATCGCCCTACATCAAAGGTTAGAACTTATTGCTATGGATGTGGATGCAGATGCTGCTCTGTAAATCCATCCAACATTGTTTGGAGAAACGATCACGATCATCAGCATATGCCAGGTCATTCTAGCTCACTCCATATGAATCCTCTTCGAAAGGAACATTTAGATCAGGTAGCGCACATTTAGCCACTGGATCTGTGACTTCCTTATGCACTTGAGAAAGACCGGTTGGTAAAGCATCAAGAACATTGCCTGTGACAATTGGTGGCAAGATGGGAGGGGCTGGGTCACAATCTGCTGTCTTTTGCTGAAATTGATGAGAAATTGTTTCCTCGCAGGCAACTGTTAGAACGCTTTCAGCTGCTGGCTGTGATTGCAAATCAAGCTGCAACAGAAAATAAGACAGTTGAATATCACCAAGTTTCTACAACAGTTATTTACTTGGGATAGAAATATTTGCATCTTAATCCAAATGCTTGATTACACATCTTCATTAGATTTAAGTGAAACCAACAGTGTTGCAAATGGCATAAGAAGGGCACTCTATCTTCTAGGTTGTTTTTGCCATGTCAGACACAAATCAGAGTATCGCATCATCTCTCCATATTTTTCTTTTTAGGTTCTTTGCAAGTGTTTTGTCCTTGAACACGAAGGTTCAATTGGGAGTAAAAGGGAGTAAAAGTAATGACAGTGAAATTATTCTCTGGATTGAGTATGACAAATTTTTGTACTACTTTCATCCCCCATACGTTTTAAAGGTGGCTGAAACATGTAAAAGAACATGGATGAAGCACAACAAGTAATCCCTAAAGTAGACCTTAAAATGGACATATAGACACTTGTGATGAGGAAGACGACCACAAAACTACATCTAAAAGTTTATATCAGATCAGTATTCTTAAGATTTTTTTTTCATTCTTACAAATAAAGGATTACCTCTCTGAGCCCTCAAGAAAGTCCAAATGAAGAATTTTTTTGCCTTTGCACTAAAGATGAGAGAGTGCATGTCTATTGCAGGAATACCAACGCAACCAAATGGAAGGACCTTTTTATGGTCAGCCACATTGGCAAAACGTTCCATGCCTATGGCCCTCTTACACATGAAATCATGTTCATATTCCCTTGTGCAACACCACACAAAATGACTTAGTCAGAAAATATGACTGCTTCACCAGACTTTGCAGTAGTAAGACTGATATCCAACATACATCTCCAAGGATCCTTCTTTCTACAGTCTGCTGGTATACACACTAAACATCATTTTTCCAAATTGGTATCTTGGACAAGTCACATAGACGAACATTCCACTCCAGAATTTGTTGGCAGCTAGGTGTAATATTATAATTGAAGATAATAATGCCAAATTCCATATTCTGCTGGTTCAGTCTAGCCAATCTGAATTACAAATAATCCAAATGCGAATAATCTAAGATGCAGACCCTCAATTCAAGTGCATGCGATGTCTGCATCCAGTATAACAAACATCTATTGCTTTTTTCCAAACTTAACAAACATTTAAGAAAAAATACACTTAATTGTAATCATTAACTTACAAAATTGTCATGATCAAGATCAAGTAAAGTGAAATGTATAACTAATACGTGAACTCAATAAGGCAACCAAAAAATAGAACAGAATGAAATAAATAAAAGAGGATGGCAATAATTTCACCTTCATTATCTTCAAGCTCTCATTTGTGGCTCTCTGCTTTTCCAAAGTGATGTGAAAGTTTGCTATTTCCTGATTGACAAGGTGATTTCAAAATGAAACTCAGGTATTGCAAATTAGAAAATTTTAGATTTCTTAGCAAAGCAAAATTGGGAGAAAAAATAAAATACCCTCTTCAAGTGCCTTTTTTCCTTTAATTGCAAGATCTCCTCCTCTTTAAGTTCAGCTATGGTCTGCAGACAGCCATAAAACTAAATCAAAAAGGATCACATCATTCAAACCAATATTAACATTTATAATCACCCAAAAAAACGTTAGAAAATAAATAAACAAAAATTAAGCCTAATCCGCGACCACGAATTTTTGGTAATTATATGATATGTTTTCATTTCTGACCAGAATCAGATATATTAAAAAGGTCATTTGTATGTACAGTGGCATATGACAGTAGAAGCTGCTAGTTAAAAGGTATAGGCAGCAAGTTGAAGCCACTAAAAATGTGTTACAGCTAGAAAACACCCAAGGGGCAATGCTAATGGTGCTCCATTGGGTCTTACCACCTGATTTGTTTTGATCTGGGGTTTACCACTAGATGGATTTATATTGCTAATAAAGTACCATGAAAAACCCATGATCAAATGATCATTTCGTGCATATTCTATCTTCTTGATTGGGCTGAAGAAACTTAGCAACTAACATCCATTAAAGCCCAGAACTTGTTTAGGATGTGCAATCATTGGATAAAATTCAGATGGATCATCCCCAAAAGAAGTCAAGTATGAAGTGCCAGTGGCCATCATTCGTTTAACAAGACCATGAAACTAAGAATCACCTTCTTCTTTCTTGACCTCTTGGTTGTTGCTGTTTCACTTGTTCCAGTAACCTGCAGATACCAAGCATTAGAAATAAATCAGTTAATCAATGCAATCTTTGTTAGATGTAACTTTGTAAGCAAATTCAGTAGGTCAATAACAGATCACAAAAGTTAAATATAAGTAGTTAGGGAGGCCCACATCTATGACCAGCCTATCTGATTTGCCTTTTCACTAATGAAATGATGTTGCAGTCGGGATTGAACCAAAAATACTGCAGTACTGTATTGTACTAATTAAGTGAAGAATTCAAAAATTATTTCATCACCCTTCTGACGATTAAAATGAAAAATAGGTCAATTATACTCCACAGACTTCTGCCAATTAACTAATACATTGGTCCTTTTGGCATTGCACAACTAGGTTTTTGTTCCGTTACAACCTTACAGGAAAGTCTATCAAAAATTGAGAAGTATTTGGGAAGTCTCATACGAAAGAGAACCAGTACCGAATAAATGGGTCCGATGACACACTGTATTGTTTCACACCTCGTTTACTGCATATAGGTCAAATGCCCACACATTTAAAGGTATGATGGTAAACCAAAAATAGGCATATCCAATGTACCGTTATACCTTTTGAGCCAAAAATGGGAATACGCGTGAAATTTCTACAATTCATACCCCAATTATATATAGGATTTGTCAATCAGTCCCACTAACTCAAAAGGGGAAAAAATCCTAAGTCATCCGGTTGAGATATGGTGTAACCGAACCATTAGTTGTTATGGCGGATTTGGTAACAATGTTAGTTTACACCGATGAGTTGGTGATGAAATAGAACCCCAGCACCACAAGCTTCTGATATAGAACTATACCTAAACCAGTCAAAGTGATTATATTAGCATTTGTCTGGCACCAGCTTCTTATTAACACATCTTCACAAACGGCAGGCTAAGAAACATTAATTTCAACACCAATGGCTGAATAATGTAGGAACCTGTCAGGCATACCTAAACCAAAACAAAGCAATTTTCCCACTTTTTGTTTTGTTTTTGCAACTAATTTCTCCCACTTTTTGACTGTGCCTGAGAATACAATACAATAGAACCTGCTAATTTTAAACGCAAAGAAAGGTTCAGAACAAGCTGTCATGCGAATCCCAAAACCCATATGATTGTTTGTCTCAAGCAGTCTAGGACCCCTCAACCTTATTCACATGAGAAATTAACTAGATACAGTTGTGCGGTGCCTTGGAATGTTCGCACATCTTTTTGTACAAATGGCATGCGATGCAGAGGTATAACGACAAGCAGATACGGTCCGAAAACGAAGGTGCTGGTACAGACCAAAACACGTCGACCACACCCTAACATTTCTCTTTCCTAACATAAAAGTGAACAACCACTAACAATACTCCACCAAACTAAAGCCAGACGCATTTGCCACGAACACACGTCACAGATTAAACCGGTGCCAAACAACTTCTCTGACCAAAAAGCCCCTTAACTACAAAATTAGTAAATTTGATTTTTTTTAAATTCATAACATACATCTGTCAAATAAATAAATTCACCGTAATCCTTTAAAACCGATACAAACCCAACACAAAGCTAAGTAATAGGGATAAGAACAAAGATAAACTGTTAATTTAGCCATCGTCAATTTGAATTTTGATTAAGGTCGGAATAAGTTTAAGATGACGTAATTTTGACCGAATTATAAAAATTAATTGAATAAGATATTCCAATTACAGTTAGGAGGTTTGACTCTAAGCCCCGTCTTTTTAGCCATTTACCAAATCCAATGGGCTATGGAAGTTCCCCCTCCCACAGAGAATTTAGGTAGTTTTTGGGTCACCTCAAGGATGACTGACAGTATTTTATTGAGAAAATTGTCACGGGTGTGAAGGGTGTTTTGGTCTTTTCGAGCTAAAGGCATGACAATAATGGGTTTCGGCTGGTGAGCTGAAAAGTGGTGAGAAGAAAACGTGATGAGTCATTCAATCCTCTGACCAAATGCGTTGAAGGAAAGTCACTAGTTTCTATTTCAAATTATTATTAATTAAAATCAATAAATAAATATGTAAATGGAAAGTCCAAGTGATAGAGACGAAAAAGTATTGACAGGGTAGTTTGGTCAAAAAAAGGCGAAAACGGATCAACGAACGACGGTCAGATCATCAGCGGTGAGATCTGTCGGACTTGATGAAATGACAGAAGTAGTCTCGGTAGTTTGCGAGTATTATCCCATGGCAGGAGGGTATTTCTGTCAATTTAGAAACTAACTAAACGGTGACAGGTTGATGAAGACATTTTACTTTTCTACAAGTGTCATCTGACTTGCACTGAACGCATCGCAGCAAATATCGTACACGTCGAGGGGTATTTTAGTCAGAACAGAAAAGGCTTCAAATGACACGAGACTTGAATGAATCAGTCGTCGGCGAACGAGGAGACAAACCACCGCCATCCAGCTGAGTATTTTACCGCCGGAAACCGGAAAAGTGATTCCGCCGACTTTAGAACTGAAAGAAAATCGCCACGGAAGAAGAGAAGAGAGAAAGTCGGCATAAACAAACCTTAGATCTTGTTGTGTGTGAGCGTTTGTGAAGAGGACGGCTGGACTCTTCGAAACCGCCATCGACGGTGCCTCCACTTCCACTTCCACCACCAGCACCGCCGCTGAGAGATTCGGCGCCACTCCATGAAAGCGGAGTGGTGGGGCTGGCCCTAGTGGTGGTACTAGTCATAGCCTTAACCGTCATCGTCTTGGAACGTGGCTGGCGTACGCTCCAGTCAACGGGCAAAGCAGGCTTCGGAGTTGGCGGTGGCTGGTTCAGCCGCACCAGCAGCTCCACCACCATGGAGTCGTCCGTCATCGCAGCTCTCACCCACTCTTCGTCGCCCGTCATCACTTATCGTCAGTTTCGAGTTTGGAGAGAGAAAAGCGTGTGAAAGATGATATATATGGAAAGAAAAAGTGAAGAGGAGAGAGAGAGAGAGGGGTCGTGGTGGCCAAGAAAATCTGAAGACAGCAATAAATAATGCACAAGAGGGTGTGGGTGTGGGTGTTGGTGTGGCTTGACACTGGGGAGTCCTGAGGATTGATGGTTTCTCTCTATTTCAATTTGGTCTATTGTATTTGGGGTGTGTGGACCCACCATTAGAGACGTGGCACTGATCGTCTGCTTCTTTATCCTTTTGTTTTGTTTCCTGGTTGTGTGCCTTGGTTATGAGAGTTAACGAGGGAAGTGCAGTTTACTCGCTTATGAAATGCGAGTGGATGGGAAGTGTGAATTGAGTGATGTTTGCCTGTTTGGGTTGTGGGGACCTTGGGCTGGTTTTATGCGTAAATGATGCAACATCTCACACTCTATCGGGGTTGAGGGAGGGTGGAAAGGAAGAGGAGGAGGACATTCAAAAGAACCACCAAAATCGATATATTGTCTGTTTTTTTAAAAAAAATTATATTTATATATAAATTATGCATAATAATTCATAAAATAAAAAATTTAAAATTTATTTATACCGGCCCAATGAGCTATCCATGACCATCCACGTTGAGCTTTTGGGCCGTGATCTTTCGCTGACCCCATTTGGGTCTAACGAGATTCAAAGAGGCCATTTTTAACTCACCTTGTAATTGTAAAGCACTAATAATATGGTCGTTGTACAATTTGAAATAAAGTGTTAAAAATATTAATTACTTGGTACAAATTTATTTTGAGATCAGTCTAAAGTTAATGAAAAAGTAATAAGATTCACTTTGTTCCCTTTAATTGTAATTAGTGTTCAGTTGAATCTTTTGAGTTTGGGCTAGACTATATATCATAGGTACATACCTTTTTGGGCCAATCATAAACTGACATGATAAAGTTTCATTGTTTTACTGTTTTGTTTTGTGTTATTATTTTCAAGATTAATTAATAACCACAATAAATCAAAATAAAATTTTTTATACCGAAAAAATTAATATTTTATATACCTATCCTTTTTTTTTTATTCAATGATTAGGAGTGTCCAGTCTAACTATATTCACCTCGGCTAATTTTCTCTCTAATTTGATTAAAAACAGGTCATTTATGTCAAAACTAAGATTTTTATGAGAGATAAATTTCTCATAATCTAACCTAAAGAATTGTCAAGTTTTTAACTCAATATTTGAGTTTATAACTCTTCTCTACTCTATTATCACTTGAACTATCCTAAAAATCTAAGAGCAAAGTCAACCATAGATTTGGTACTAAACCATTTTCTTTCTTTCCTTTTTCTTCTAATTTCTTCGTCATTTTTGGTACGTAAGTGGTTTGGATAGAACTTAGCCAGTTTAGATGGGACCACTGCCCACCTGAAGCTGAATCCCACACTGTTTGGCTTGCTTTCACGATTGGAGCGTGGTGCATACACCCTATACATGCATTTGTTGCATGCATGGCTATGCTGTCTGTCCAAGAGCTCTCACATCAAACTAAATACACCCTATGCATGCATGAACATGACATTCCTCTCCATCTGTTCTACTTCTCTTTTGGCCTTCTGCTTGCTCTCTGTGTGTAGCACCCGTTGACGTTTAAGTCACAAGAACAATCATCTTCTACAGTTGGCATTAAAGTCGAGCCACAATGCATGACAACACCAAGTTTACAAGTAAGAGCATTTTTTTTGTTCGGTACAGTGGAAAAATTAAAAGAAAACTACTTAAATCCTCTAAAATAAGAGTTACAAGTAGAGTCATTTCTAAGACAGTCCCCCAAGAGGTTAGGGGGGAAAAAGAGGATCACCATCTGATCCTGGTTCTGGACACTCATACTTGCAAGCTTATCAGCACAAAAGTTCGCTTCTCTAAGGGTATGAATGATGGGAAGGGTATGAATGATGGGAGTATTGAGCAACGAAAGGAGGTTCTTGCATCTTGTTATGAGAACTCTTTCTGGATGGAAAAACTCAGAAGTTGTAGTAATGAGTCTATGTGCATCCAGAGAGTCAGTCTCCAAGAGGATATTCTTCAGATTCTTCTCTTTGATGAGCTGGAGGCCTCTGAAAATGGCCCATAATTCAGAGTGTAAGCTGGAGCAGTTGCTCAGCCTTCCATAGAAACCAATCTGCCAGTTCTCCTGATCATCTCTAACTGGTCCTCCAACTGCAGTTGGTCCCGAATTTCCTCTAGAGCTTCCATCAACATTCATCTTAAGCCACCCTGCAGGAGGAAACGACCATCCTACAAGATCAGGGGAATAACAGTCCGTCCTAATTAAGATATCTTGGAAGGATGTCTTAATTTCCAGGGCTAAATGCCATGCATTTTTTGCAATGACATTAGGGAGGGTCTGGGTCTTCTCAATACATTCTTTATTCCTATCTTTCTAGGTGTTTCAAATGAGTGATGTGAAGACAACAGGCCACTTCACCCCTCTCCAAGTCGAATTCTTTTTAATAGTATGGTTTTCAAGAAGCCATTCTTGCAAATTAAGGTTATAAAAATCAGAGGTAGGGAGGCTTCCTAGCAAGGCTTTCCAAATTGCTTTATCTTTGGAACAATCTCTCAGAATGTGAATAGTGGATTCAATATTACTATTGCATCTCTCACAAGTCACCTCTCCAGTCATGTTTCTTATCGCTCTAAACAAGTTGGACATAATTCTATCACTTTGAATCAACCACGGGAAAAATTTAAGCTTCTGGGGAATTTTCATAGTCCAAATCCAATCCCATTTCAGAGCAGGTCTGCTATCTTCAAAGGTATTGGTTATCCAATTATATGCAGAGTTAACAGAGAATTTTCCGTTATTAGAAAGTCCCCAAACAGGAGTATCTTCAAACTCACCCACATCAGGAATATTTTTTTTTTTTTGCCGGTTAAAAAAGGGGTGGGGGCAAAGAAGAGTGCCCAGAAACCACCCCGATAGGCCCTCACCGGTGGGATCATGAGGCCCCTGACCGTGCCTGGAACACCTCTCGGGACCAGACCTAGCTAGGCTAATATAGCGGCCAACCACCAAGCTCCAATGGGAACTCCAAGACTCAAACTGCCAACCTCAAGGCGAGGAGTAAGGCCGGTACCCCACTAGACTACCCTACTTGGTGGTTCAGGAATATTTGTCATGAGAATATCAGACCTAATGTAAGAGGGAAGGATCATACCTGTGTTCCTCAGAATCCAATTACCTGCTGAGTTAATGAAGTCCGCCACCAGAGATCCAGGGATCTGCATTCTGCTAGCAATGGCAGAAACTCCACACCACCAGTCAGTCCAGAAAAGGATATTCACCCCATTACCAAGGAGCCATTTAGTGCCTTATGTGACAATTGATTTTGTTTTACAAATTAGGGGATACATTAGATTTCAGAGTCCATTCCTGTGGGTTATCATGTAAATATTTCCCTTTAAGAACCTTAATCCACAGATCTTGGTTATTCTTAATTTTCCATCCCAATTTAGATAAAATGCAAGGTTTTTTTCTCTAGTTTTCCTTAGTCCTAGTCCCCTTTTTCTTTTGGTTTACAAACTGTCTCCCAATTAACAAGGTGCACTATCTTTTTCTCATCAGTGTCGCCCCAAAGGAAGTTTCAGTTCAGTCAATGAATTTTCTCACAGGTGGTTTGCGGAAGCCAAGTAGATTGCATGGTGTAATTTGGAAAGGTAGAAGTAACCGCCTGGATAAGGGTAGTTTTTCCTGCAAGAGATAGGTTTTTGGCCTTCCATCCACTTAGCTTAGTTTGCCTTTTTTCAACCAAAAAATTAAAGTGATCTTTGCTTGATCTTTTATGAAGGATAGAGACACCTAAATATCTTCCTAGGTCCTCAGTTCTAGCGATTCCACTCTTAACCAAAAAATTAAAGTGATCTTTGCTTGATCTTTTATGAAGGATAGAGACACCTAAATATCTTCCTAGGTCCTCAGTTCTAGCGATTCCACTCTTTCTGCCAAGATGTCTTGCTTTACTTCTTCCAATGTTGGGTGAATAAAAACCTTTAGATTTTGCAAAACTCACTTTTTAACCTGATATATTGCAAAAATCTCCAAGAACTTTCCTAATCATGTCACAATCCCTATCAGTTGCCCTAGAAAAGAGTATATATCATCAGCAAAAAAAAGATGAGTTATACTAAGCCCATTCCTAGAGGTTTTAATTCCTTTCCATCTTCCCTCTTCCCTCTTCCACTTTTCTATTAATCATTTGGCCCAATTTCTCCATGCATAAGGTGAAAAGATAAGGAGACAGTGGGTCTCCTTGTCAAAGACTTCTCTTTGGTTTGATAGGGTTAAGTGGTACACCATTCCATAAGATTGAAAGGGATGACTCTATGACACAACTCATAATGATATCAATCTAGGATTTTGGGAAATTAAAATCAACCAAGGTTTGGTGCAAGAAGGCCCAGCTAATTCTATCATAAACTTTTTCAAGATCAATTTTAAAAATCATATCTCTCACCTTACCTTTTTTTTTTCCTTCTAATGGCATGGATAATCTCTTGGGTGATGATAACATTATCAATGGTCTATCTCCCTGGGATGGAGCTACATTGATTGGGGCTAACCAGATTGTTCAGAAAGGGTCTGAGTCTTGCAACAAGCAATTTGGTAAGGATTTTAAAGCTAACATTGCAAAGACTTATTGGCCTAAATTGAGAAGCCATAGTTGGGCTTTTAATTTTAGGAATAAGGGTGATCCAGGTTTCATTCATCTCTTTTGGAACTTTTCTTGTTTTAAAGATATCTTTGATTTGGTTACATACTGACTCCCCCACGATCTCCCAGTATTTGTGATAAAAAATGCCTTGAAGTCCATCAAGACCTAGGGCCTTATGGGGCTTAATACTAAAGGTGGCCTTTCTTATTTCATCATCTGTAACAGGGAATTCGAGAAAAAGGTATCAACATGATTAAGAGAGGTATGTGGCCTTGTA